ACATTCTGTAAATGCTGAGCTGAGCTACGAGTTACAACATTCAGAGTGAAAAGGTGCGTTTGCGCAGCTGGTTTGCTGGTTGTGATTGAACCATCCAGTCGACCTTTTACACAACGTGGCCATGCCATTTTGTTTGTTGTCAAATCTGTTCTGTTGCCATGTGGTGGCTACCAGCTGGTATTTAGCTCCAATTGCATGGCAGCATCAGCTATGGCGAGCAACATCCGTTTGCACATTTTGGACAATTGCAGACCCAAACAAGTCACAGAAACAACTTCAGAAACATTCTTGACTGTTGATAGAAGTCGCGCGCTGCGACCCAACATGTGGGCTTGGATCTCCAAGTGTGCATGTTGCATTGCACGCCAGAAAGAAGTGGACAGCCTGCCATACGAAAATCCAGGCCTTTTGTTTTTGGCACGTTTAACAACATCTTCCGCAGGTTCGTGAAGCTTGTATGTGATCTTGCAGGTATTCATATTGAGTTGTAGTTGCGTGTTGCATAGCTGTGGCTGAAGACTTGTTCATATCAAAGATATTGCGGAAAGCGAGGCCACAAATCTGAACCTGAGCCAGCAACGCTCCAGACAAAAGATTCAAGAGCCAGTGCTGAAGAGAAGTACCTCCAGGCCGGTAACGCCAACGAGAAATCCATTTATCGTGCATGCGGGAAGCTGTCAAGTCAGGATGTGGTGAAGGTATCGTCGAGACATCAGCATGATCCCTCGAGGCAGCAGCATGTTGGCGTACACATCAAGTTTGTTCCCTTCTTGCTGGTGCATATTGGGTGGTTTGTGTGACTCTGGCTACAGGTGGAAGAAGGAATTTGCGGATGCAGGCGATGGCACAAACAACCCGGACATGAACTGCATCCGCAAGCTGCGGAAAGAGATTTGGTGCCTTGCTGCGCAAGACCGGCCGTGCAGATTTCTCTTACCCCTTTGAGTAGCGCAGTGCTGTGCTGTTGCTCATTCGTATTTTACTAGAGACTTCCGGTCATTCGACAGGCCGGAATGATCAGTTTGTTCATGTTGCGTTGAGGAACCAAACGGAGATGATTTTCCAGGAGCTGGATGAGTCAGCCAGCCTGGACAAAGCGCGAAGCACCACACTGTTTCAACCAGGTGATTTTTCGAATTGCGAGTCTCCGGCAGTATCCTGGCTGACACCAAAGCAGGACTTTCAAGGGGAATAATAGCATGACCCTGCATATGTTTGCTTGTGGCAGTAGTGAAGCTGCGCACGTTGACTGCCACTTGCTGAAGACGTTGTGATGTTGGTACGTTCTGCGCGAACAGGTCAACTGTGGTCATTGCATGCCGGAGGCACTTCTGTGTTTGTTTTGTTCAAGCTCAATACACGACACTGCGGTAGCAATGTGATGTCAAATTTGTCAGCTGTGATTTGGGCCAGGTAGAGGTGGTTGAGTGCGACATTCTGGACAAAGCTGAAGCATTTGCCAAAGAGATGTGGCCTAGCATGCATGGTGAGAAGAGAATGTTTTTTGCATCGTTTAAGGTACCAAGCCATAATAAATCCCAATAGTGGCCTGTCTTTTTGAGATCAGATCTCAGGGGTGCTGTGGCCGTTCTGAACATGGCCTCTGCGTCATCTCCTGGTGGCGGGGTGCGAAATGGCGCTGGGGCGCAGGCCGTTCACACAAGCTTCAGATTTTGTTGTAACCGCAGAGAGCTTTTCTTGTATGATCTAAGGCAGGCACGCTTTGTGACCATTTGTGTTCTCAACTGTGAGGAAGAGAACTTGTGCCGGAGAAGTGACTTGTACCGGTTCCTGGCACCCCAATGGCGCAGTACCCTGGCATTGCATGAAAGTTGTGGTGGAAGCTTGTTGGTTCGGTTGTGCCAACTGTGGCCGTGTGCTTGCTGGTCAAGACTCTCCACTTTCATGGCTTATGCTTCAGCATTTGTTGGCACAGAGCATAGAGTGCTTCAGTTGGGGTTTGCTTTGTGTGAGCACGAGACTCATGCAATACCCTATGGAGAGAGCAGAGCAGCCAGCATCAGATGGGTCCGATGTGGACGCGGCCAGAGGCGAGCAGCCACTTCTTCATGTTTCGCGTTTCTCTGATGGAAGTGTGGGGAAAGGCATTCCAGGCCGACAGCTTTTCCCAGCTTTGCTGGCAGCCTGTGGGCTGATCGCAGGTGCTTGCTGGTTGTTGCCTCGCCATACCATGCTTCGAGGTAGCATGGAAGGCGACCAGGCGATCCAGCTCAGTGCACAGCTCTTTCAGCCTGTGGATGGTGGAGTGTCCAGGGCCTGCCGTGGAGGAAGTCCCACCGACAATTCGCCTACGAACTTTCAACTGTCTTCGGCTGCAGACTTAGCCTTCTGCCAGTGGGAGTGCCTCAAGATGCCTACCTGCCAGGGCGTGGAATATCACCCTTCCAATTGGCGTTGTGAGCTTTGGACGCGCCCCGGCGGTATTCAAGCCACAGCACACTTCCAATCTTCGGAGTGCTATCGCCGACTGGCCAGTCTCGAGCCAGTGGATGGCGGTGATGATAGGGCCTGCCGTGGTGCCACTACTGGCGACAACAACCCGGTTTCTTATATCAAAACATATAGCAGGACATAGTATGAGAATAAGGACAGCCGCAAAAAAGTGATCTTAGGGTTAAAGACATGAAATTCAGAAATACATACTAGAAATGGGGTCCCTTAATGGCTTTTCGACCCCGAATCCATGGGGAGGAGTCAGAAAACTGAATGTGGAAGAAACTTAGATGAAAGCATATAGCAGGACAAAGTATGAGAATAAGGAAAGCCGCAAAAAGTGCTGTTAGGGTTAAAGGCAAGAAATCAGAAATACACACTGAACATATGGCGTTCTTACCCCTTCTCAGCATGTCAGTACTGCCAATGAGGCTCACTATGTCGTTCACTCGCACTCCTTGCTTGACGACTGTGAGCGGCAATGCCTGGCAACTCCTGAATGCAGAGGGATTGAGTACTCCTTCGGAAGATGTGAGGTTTGGGTAAGAGGGGATGGCATTCAAGCGTCGGTCGCCCTTCCAGGGTTTAAGTGCTTTCGGGTAGCTTCACCAGCGACAGTCACGGCCACGGCGACATCCACCTCGGTCACCACAGTGACTGTCACCACGGTGACTGCAACAACGATCACTTTGTCGACCACAATATCCAGCGTCACGGAGGCTCCGGCCACGGCTGCTCCGATTTCTGACTTGGTCTTCCAACCAGTGGACGGAGGGGTGAATCGCGCATGTCGTGGAGCAGATGCCAACGACAACTCACAGAGCTACTTCCAGGTTTTCACGGTCACTGGCCTGGAGGACTGCAAGGACCGCTGTCGGGAGACAGCAGGCTGCGTGGGCATCGAGTTCATCAACACGCGCTGTGAGGTGTGGACAAGACGGGCTGGCATTGAGGCAAGCTTCGAGCTGGCCAATTACCAATGCCTGCAGGCCTCAAGACAAGTTCAATCCCTTCCCAAGTTTTTTTGAACCTTTTGCAAGATCTCCAGGCGCTGGCTTTCCACCCTGTGGATGGTGGCGTTGATCGGGCGTGCCGTGGTGCAAGCATCGGCGACAACTCTGCAGACTACTATGTAACTTTGAGTTGATACTGGTTCCATGTCGCTACCTCCGTCTGGACAGCATATATAGGGTGGAACGGCAATTCACATGCGAGAGCTGCAGGTAGTTTTCCCTGAGACATCGCTCGCAGACTGCAAGAACCGCTGTGCCAACACACAGGACAGGCACCAGTGTTTGGACGGGTAGCATAATGTGCCAACTCCACGATCAAGCCATCAGCTCACGAGATTCAGCAGCAGTCTCACATGCAATTGCACAGACGATGATGCTGACATCAATGACGGTGAGTATGAAGGTGATGATGATGATGACGACGACGATGATGATGGTAGTGGTGGTGCTGATGATGAAGACTTGCAACTTTGCTGATTTGCTAGTCTCTGCAACTGGAAGTTGAACAGCTGGTGAGATTTTTGCCATTCCATACTCCGTTGAAGTTCGCAAATGGAAGAGGCATCCTTCTGATGTTGAGTAGGAGTAGGCTCAAGCAGCAATCCGCTGCGTTTGGTTGAGCACCGATGCGGGTGAGGGGAGCAACGATTAAGTAGAGAGGAAACACTTGCGAGTCACGCAAGTGGCTGTTGCAAGCAGCTGACTGGTCGAGGGTCTGATGACGTCTCCCTGGTTAGGCCTGTGTGGGAGTGGAGTACTCCGATGGCCGCTGCGAGGTGTGGACAAGGCGGTCCCTTTGTGCTGTTCAAGCTGCAAATTCAACCTTTGAGCAGCTTTCCCAGGTCCGGAGGCATTCTGGCCTCAGCTTCAGTGACTGGATTCCAGTGCTACCAGCTTAGCAGTCCGATGAGGCAACCTTCTTGCATCAATGGTGCTGTTTTTCTTAGGGGCACTGCAGGTTAGAATCAAGTGGTCTGGGGAAAGCGGGTCACCCTGTCGTTTGTGAGAGTTGCTCTGAGGCAAGAGCTCCTGGCAGAGGTTGCTGCGTCAACCTGGGAGCCTTTGCTGATATTTGTCTACCTAGAAGTTCCCAACTGCCCTCGTTTAGATTCTTATTTCGACAGAGGCCCCAGTCTCAGTTAGCGGCATCTCAACCTGCAATTCTCTCCAGGGAATGCTTGCTCCACGCAAGTGGGCTTATTTGCTGATTCCCTTACGTGATTACGTGATGTTGCCAAAGCTGCCCTGCTTTCAACCATAGATCATGACGGCATGCGGAGCAACCTGTGATCTTATTGCAGACCAAAAGCAGTCAAGAACACTATAGTTTTCGCACGCTCCCACGCGTGTCATTGGTGTTGTTCATTCCCGAAGACTTCCACTCCAAGTCAACAATGGACCCGGCTTCTATTCGATTAGATGTAAGTTGTGCACTTACTTGTGACCCTTGTGAGGATGTTGTGGGTGGTGGCATTGACCGAGAGTGCCGTGGCGCTGATTGGAGTGATGACTCTCCGGGCTACTACTCCGTGGCGCATGCCAGCTCTTTGGCTCGATGCCAGGAAGCTGGTCCTGAAACAAATCAGTGGCCCAGCAGGTAGATGTGATGTGATGTAGTTTGCAGAAGCTTTTGGTTTGGTTAAGTTAAGTAGTCGTTGAAGAGCTTCTGAGGAGCGTTGCCTCGAACTCACGATCTGCAAGGGCATTGAGTACCGCGTGGGCTACTGCGAGCTGTGGACACGGCCAGAGGGCATTGCGGCGACTGCGCAGAGGACATCGCAGAAGGGAGGGCGCTTCTCGGCACAAGATTTCTAAGCCTTGCAAGCGAATTAGACACTTGAGGAGCAGCTCGGTATGCCTGCGCCGGCCGAGTGTCAACGCTGACCCGACCGTCGGCGGCGATGGAGTGCGCACGAAGTACGTGGTCCACTACATGCCATGGTTCCTAGGCGTCAGAACACCTGGCTTGTATGACCATTGGTGTGTGGGAAACTCTTACTATGAGAGCTACCTGGGGCTCTACAATCAGAACCAGCGGGAGATTGTGGCGCAGCAGTTTGACTTGATGAAGGCTAGCGGCATCGATGGATTGTGGATCGACTATCAACTCACATCGTGGGACAGTGTGGTAGACCTGATCATTGATGAACTTGAGGCACGTGGCATGGGAGTGGCCATTGTGGTGGACAATGCCGTCAACAATAACATCTTCATCGATGCGCACGAGAAGTTGATAGAGTGGGTGGGCAGGTCAAACTACTACCGACACAATGGCATTCCTGTAGTGCCTGTGTTCAACGATGTAGAGATCAATTTCAAGCCTTTGCCCTTTGACGCCTACTACATGACGAGGCGTGAGGTTGCGCGTCCGGACTGGGCCAACGGCACATATCCATGGATCACCGCTGACCTGGAGTGGCTGGAGGAGCATTACAAGCAGGACCATAGCCTTGACTCCTTTGCAATCGGCGCAGCCTACAGGGGTTTCCGTGACTGCTACAGCAATCGTGTACTTCACGTTCCCTTTCTGCAGATGCTAGAGCCCTCACTCCTCGTGACCAGCAAATATCAGCCTGAATTCGTCCAGGTGCTGACTTGGAATGATTACAGCGAAGGCACTATGATTGAACCTAGCTGGCTCCGGACTCATGGATCCTGCCACCAGACTTGCGACGACCTCTACACAAGCTGCCCAACCAGTTATGATTGCTTCTCAGGCCTGGAGACAAGGGATTGTGATAAGCCCTATGGTGGCCCCTTCGGTCCGACAGATCCTGCTTGCGCTTCGACATCTTCGGCCTACAACAAGAGTGCGTATGCTGAGTTGGACACACTGAAGCAGCATATTGCGCTCGAGAAGTCTGGAATGCTCAATAGCATCTTTCATACAGGCCTGTTTACCCCTAGTGCCAATGCCAAGGGACCAGGCTGGTACTCCAGAGGCGAACCTCGACCTCGGAGGTCAAAACATTCGGAAATCGTCATGAAATGAATTACCTGGCAACCTTTGTCACATGCTGGCCAAAGGTGACTTGTGCAGGCCCACAGGCACACCAGTTGCTTGCTGGTGCCTCTCACCTCTCACTGCCCAAGAGGGGATCCCAGCGAATCATTTGCTGTTTTCAACCCTGGCCCAGCTAGTAGAAGAGGCCTTGACTGTCATGCCAAAAGGCAAGATGGCAAGCCAGTTTCAAAAGGCAAGATGGAAAGCCAGTTTTGAACGAGATTCTTGGTATTCAGGCTGACAATGGCTGAGCAGTACCGAGAGTCCCGTTTACAGGAAGTTTTGCAGAGAAGATTTTGGCTTGGAGCATTCCAACGGCCACGTGCGTGGGATGTTCCAGGTGATCTATGTAGTACCTCTGTCTTTTAAGATCGGGTGGAAGCAGACGGCTGCACAGCGCAGGTGTTCAGAAATGAGCTTGTTCTTGATGTCAGACCTGGCTCTTACAGTGGCCCGGTGAGCATGACAATCCAAGCTGTAGCTCGAAAGCCTGAAACAGGGATGTGTGTATCTTGCTGTAGTGCACGTCAGCAAACCTTGTCAATGAAGTGGCTCATGGCCAAAAGCCCCTGTTTGCCAGTCAGGTCTGTATCCGATACAGAAAAACGCATGCGCCTTGGCAGCAACCTTGCATTTTGCCAACTGGTGCCCGCAACTTGTAGACTTCTGGACTTGCATGAGCTGTGATGAATTCTTGGCACAGAGCTGGTGGGTTATGTGGGTTGCTGCACGCTTTTCGGTATTCCTGTTTGACCTACATTGTCATTTTTGCCAAGTGAGCTCTGCGTACTAGCATGCACCTCGTTGAGATTGCAGGCCTAATATCGGAAAATGTGACCATCCTCCGCGGCTCCGAGAAAAACGGATATCCTTTCCTAGAGCCTTGCCCAAAAAGTTAAAGCAAGTCCAGCAGGTCCAATGAGGGACACTTTGCTCTGGCAGCCGGTGGACAGCAGGGAAAGTCCAGTTGCCGTGACTATGGTTTAATCTAGCTAGCAGCCTCGTATTCACCCTCAGGATCAGCCCTTCAAGGTGACCATCCTCACCTGTGCTGCGCTGCAACGGCCTCCAATCTCTGGGCAGAGGTGCTTAGGCTAAGCTTGAAATAGACAAAAGTTGGAATCACCAGCACTTAGAACAAGGGCTCCAAGAACATTGTCACATGAGCTGCAGTCTTAAACTCCTTCGGGGGAGGTTCTATAGGAATTATATAGGGGAGTATCATATAGGGGTATAGCTCATATTCTGACTGAGGTACAGGGATCCACAAGATGAGAATTGCATGCGGGAGAAGGCCTGGAATAGAAGCTGTGAAGCATTGTGGGCTTGGCTTCTTGCAGTCTCATGCACTCCAGAAGCAGCTCAGCTATTGAATCTGCTGTAGACAGTTTTCTTTTTTTTGGAAGGTCCGGGCCATCCTGGGGGCGGCCCAGAAAAGCGGCTGCAGGGCCTGCGTGCTCTCGGCCTTCGGCTGCGGTGCCTTCGGCAACCCGCCCGAGGCAAGCCAAAGTTGCTGTGCTTACGAGCACGCGGTTTAGGGTTTAGGATTCAAAGATTTAGCGCGCTACAGGCGGTGGCGCGCCTCTTCAAGGAAGAGCTGAGGACAGCGAAGCTGCACAAGGCTGCTGCCAAACATGATTTAATGATTCAATCTCTCCAAGAAATTATGAGCACGCCTGATATTTGCGGGTGGCACTGAGGTGAGCTTCTGCATCTTTAACGATCATAATGCGGGCCGCGCGCATAACCCGAGAGGATGCTGAGCTGCACACAGGTTCAGAGCCTTGCAACTTTGCCGATGTCTAAGATATCAATCTGAGCTATCTTTCTCAACAGCCCTCTTGGAGCGTGACGGTTTTGTTTCGCACATGCGCCGATTTCCTGAGCCAAGGCAACTACATCCCTTTCAAGGAAGTGTTCGAGCTGGATGTGATGTCTGTCTGAGGCGCTGTCCGCGTGATGAAGCAAAAAGTGCCATCGAGTGACTGAGGACACCATGCTCTGAATCGAGACTGCCAAATTGAGTATTCTACCTGCGGGAGCACTTCAAGCATTCTTGAAGCTAATAGCAATGCCGAGACCCCAGGCCGAAAAAAAACCCAAAGGGAAGGCTGGTGCATCAACAAAATTCGCAGGTCTTCGTGACCGCAAACATGGAACTCGGCTTAGAACTTTGAACTAAGTCCTTCACCCCGCCCTTTATCGCAAGATGTTGTAGCAGCGTAGCAAAGTCTGCTTCATGGCCTGGCTCAACCACACCTTGGCTCCCGAGCAACAAAGACCTCAAGCCTCGAGCATTCTCCCTTCGAAGAGCTCATTGCCCCGGAACAAGAAAGCCTTCTGCTGCGGGTTGTTTGCTTTAGGCACTCAGTATGCAAGACAATGAAAGCTAGAGTCACATTGCACCCCAACACTTAAAGCCTTCCTGCCGCTGCATGCGAGTGCTCCGCCACTTGCTTCTGTTGGTTTCGGCTGAACTGCGCACGCCGCTAGCAGGCCACGAGGGTGTCAGCCAATGCAGGGCAGTCAAGCTTGGAATATGTTCAGAAAGTGAGGAGCCACAGCCCTGGAATGTTGTTGTGCAGAACATGCCAGGTAATTTGCTTGAGTGTGCTGTTGGACAGATTGTTGCCTGGCTGAAGGAAGTTTACAGATTTGGCTGCACTTCTCATGCAGCTACGTTTGTTGCACCTCCAGAGTGAAGGTTTGGGCATTGGCGGATGAGTGGCAGCGATGTCGCATCTTGCGAATTGAGCCCGGAGAGGTTCAGATACAATGGCTGGAGGCCGATGTGGTTTGCTCTGATGTCGTCATTTGACAGCTCTTCAAGATATTCGCATTTGGATTGCAGAAGTTACTCCAGGCTACCACGCAGAGTGAATCTGTGACCAGGCGCCGCTTGCGGGGAGCAACGCCACCTTGCCACCAACACGGCTCAGGCTGGGTGGAAAGACAATTGAGTGCAGTGAGAAGGTAGCCAAGCTGAAGTATCTCAAGTGGCAATCTGCGGTCTGAGACTCTGAGACTGCCACTGCCATTTTTTGTGTCGCTGGGGGGCTTGCGGACCTTCTTTAGCAGGACGCGCCTTGGCGGCCTCTGCGGCCGTGCAGCTCTCTGCCTCTTCGGGCGTGTGGGGAACCTCTTCGGGCCGTTCCATGAGGCGGTTGGTGTGAGCGGGGGAAACTGTACCGGTTGATGCGGAGATGCGGAGACTTGTGCACTGGAGGATGGCTCGACTGGAGAGGTGCTGGAGATCTCTGCACCGTCCGTGTGGGAGCATGTGGTGCCCTGGCAAAGTGCAAATTCAATGAATGTGCAAAGAGTCCTGCAGATGATTCGTTGAATCCCGATAGCTTCAGCACTGCATCCCACATTCTTGGATCACTACGGTCAAGTACAAGTTGGAGATGAAGTGAGGTGCGAGCCAATAGCGACCTGCACTGGGACATCTTTGCACACACATGGGACGAGAGTCTGGCACCAGCGAGCCTTGTTTGGAGGAAGCGTGATCAACCTAACGAGACCCCTTTTTTGCAGCTTCGCAGGCTTTGCCGCGCACGGTGTTTTGTTCGCACGATCCAAGGATCGAGGCAGCTTTTGCGTGGACAGCTCAGCCTCAACAACGAGATCACCTTACAGTTGAGACATTGAATCTGCAGCCGCCCTGGGGGTTAGTACCAAGGCCAGTGGCGTTGCATGCAGAGCCACAGCCAGACTTGCCCACGGTGCCTGGCATAGATAGACTGTGAAAGTCTTTGGGTCATACGTTGGGCGCCATGCTTCCCAGATCTACCCAGGTGCAGAGCTTCGGAGAGACATGCAGACGCAGTGTACAGCTGAAACGAGACAAGGTTGGAGATGCAAACACACGAGTTCGATGCTGGTTGACACAACACTTCCCCATGTACTTGTATCCTTTTGAGCAGGAAATTAAAGATGGCATGCGCTACGACCTTGTGGTACTTATGCGGTATGACATCTTCCTCAGGCTTTGGAAGTCCTTGAAATTGGGGAAACGAAAGGAGCAAATTGTTGCACAGCTGATTCCCTGAGGGCCCCCTTGCGGCTTAGCCCAGCGGTTGGCTCCGCTGCCCTTTGGTCCGGGCACTGGTGTTCCATCCACGCTGAGGACCTGTCGCTGCGCGAGTTGGCGGCCTGGCCTCAAAACCTGAATGTTATCCATTCCATTCCTTTTGTGTATCTGCCTGGGCAGATTGATCATGAGGTGCTGACCCATGATCCAAGCTTCCGGCATGTCCGCTACCGACCCTCCGGTGTATTCGCACCATCCCAGTTTGCTCCGACAGGACAGCTGCTGCTAGAAGCGATGTGCACGTGAACCCACTCAAACAACGCTCGCATCGGAGTAGATTTTCTCTTCGGATTTCAGTTAACTTGAAGCAGCAATGTCGTATGCGGGCCGCAGTTACTCCCTTAAGCATCGGACTCAAAACAGTTCTGCGGATGCCAAAGCCTCTCTGGACCCCTACAGAGGACTCCATGATTTCTGGTTCGCTGGCTCTTCTGCTGTCATGGACCGCTTTGCCTCTTGGGGCTTGAGGGTTCCTGAGCTGCGTGCACGTTTCGGCCTGCAATCCGATGAGGTGCCCGCAGCCTGGTTGCAAAGGGGAAGGTAGTCGTCTAGCTCGAAATTTTGTGCTCGTAAGTGGCAAGGGTGGCTCTTTTAAAGCAAATGCTCACGCCTCCGGGGTGTGGGCTCAGGAAATGCGCTCTATCTACAGCCAGATCACATTCAGATGCTTCTCATTTTGTGCACTGCGATTCTTGCAAGGGTACGACGGCTTGCGGCATTTGGTCGATTGCTTCCAGTCGTCCCAGGTTGATGTGGGGCACTTCTACACCTTTCTTCATGCAAAAGAATTGGGGCTGCCATTGAAGTTCGAAGGCTGGCCATTTTGGTCGTAATAGAGTGCATGGAAATGTGATTCTGTCTGCAGCTAGGCATCAGCAACTTTGACTACACGCTTGTTCGTTACCGAAACTGCACGCTTCTCGTTGGTTGGGACCTGAGTCATAGCAAGCAGTCTGGGAGAGCGAGCTCTGTACCTGACCTGTCCCATGACTGTTCGAAGTGCGTTTCTGGGCGCAGGCGAGCAGATTCGTGATCCAGATATTTTCTGCAGCCACTGGGAGATTAGCATGACCAGGCCTTCACAGATGTTCAGACGATGTGAAAAGCCATACTCCGTGCGTCTGGTTTGTGTCAGCTCTTGAGTTCTGCGCAGAGCCTGGAGACAGGGAATGCGAGTCCTGGCGGCTGCAGCAACCCGGTTGGGCTGCCCAGTACTGTCCCCCGGCTTTCACGATGGGATCACAAGTCACACGTTTGTGCTTCGTAAAATGCGGCTCGTGGAAGATGTGAACCCTCGAGGTCCTTTGGCTGGTAAGCGTGCGGAACTGGTTCCTTGGGGCAAAGAATGTGGCCCTTTTTGATGGCAGCTTCCTGAATCACTTCATCCACCTTTCTGCAGGCTCAGTCTCGGAGAAAGCATGTTTTCTCCTGTGTCAGTAGGTATCTCATCATATCGTCAGGTTTCCGTAAATAGGCGCGCTAGCTACTGTATGCACTAGGCACCTCCGGCGAGATGTTACTAGTTTCTGCGCAAGAAGGAAGAGCCTGCAAGCCGGTGGAGAAGGAATGCTGAGCTTGAGATGTGTCCAAAGGAGGCCTTTGTGGCATCCTCGGATCACATGGCAGTAGGCCCGCAGTTGGCTCAGGCATGCTACGGGGAAAACCTGCAACTTCTCCTGAAGTATTTGCATCAGATGATGTCAGCAGCGCTTCGTGGACCCAGTCGACCAGAACCATAGCTTTACTTAACCAGAGACGTTCGCAGCCCTTGGCACAAAGCTGGGCCCATTTTGTGGCCTGAGCGTGCGGCCTGGCCGGATCCCGTCGGGGCCTGCAAAATCTGCAATCTGAAGCAGATGCAAAGAGCAGCATGGATAGCATGATTCATGATCCTGGACTGTCTGAGGCCCACCTTTGAGGATGGGCGAGTCCTTTTCCCGGTGGCGAGCTTGATCCAGTGAGTGGATACAACGCCAGGCATCCGTGGCGTGCCCAGGTCGCTTCAATCCTGCTACGATCCCGAAGGCACTGCGAACATCATCCGAAAGAAGAAGGCATCCCCTTTCTCCGCTCATTTGAACGGATTTCGGATACTCTTTCAGCACGCGCGAGGCGCAGAGGGCTGCGCTCAACCACTATGAGGACTCGGGGTGCTCTGCTCTGGAATTGCAGAGCTTTCCCGGAAGGGGTCAATTATTTGCATTCTGTTAGTGTTTTAGGGTTCTGTTCATTTTTTTGGGGAGCCCCTAGGACTGGCCCCTGCTTTCCCGTCTATTTGAACATCTGGTGTGCTGCTTTGTGCTGCATGGATGCGGGTCAATGCTGGCAGCCAGTGGTGCAGATTGCTTCGAGGAGCTCCTCAAACGAGTTGCAGATCGAGACCCATCCGCGACAGCAGAGGCAGGGTCACGGGATGATCTCTTTTATTTGTTTCTCTTCCGCCTGCATGTTTGAATAATAGCTTGCTTGTCAACTCATGTGGCAAGCGACCCTGTGGCCAGAAAGGTGATGCAGTTCGACCAGGAGAACAGGAACAAGGCACGTGCGACTCTGCGATTGATTTTCCGGGCAGTGCAGCTTCAGAAGATGTCTCTCGTGGGCAGGGGCAAGGCGAGTTCAAGGGCAAATTCTGGCAAGAGCTGCAGCAGCACGACGATTGGTCATGCTCACAGCCTTCGGCACGTTAAGTTGGTCACTTCCGCATTTGCACGAGATCTTAAGCAATACCCCAAAGCAAGCCTGAAATAATTTTCAAGAGCTCAAATACATAGTTGGTCAGTTCTCGAGCGCACTGTCGCATTTGCTCAGGCCGAGAGTTCTTGAGAAGCGTTCATCTTTGGGTGTGCCTTTGCCATGATGCGGGCGCCTGCATGAGAGGAGCAAATAGGCAGCACACACGGACGAAGGGAAAGGGGACCCATTAGTTAGACCTCATAGCTAGGTGCTATAAGAAGAAAACTGTACATCGGACGCGGGGTGGTAGTATTTCCAGATACGCTGAGCGGGTCGAATCAAGCGATTTGACCTGGAACCTGGTTTCACCTTCAGCCCCATCGCGGCCAGCGCGGGGACATCTCACTCAGATCGACCAAGTATCGGGGTACGTGCGCCAAGCACTATTGCCCTGCTGCGAAAGAGTGACTCCTTCTCAAGTTCGCACCTTCCAGAACTGGACTGTGTTGTGCGACACTGCAAGATGGTTCTTCAGGGTCAGTTTCGGATCAAATTCCGTATTCGGCGCCAGCGACTGGCTGCATGGCCGCTCAACTGAACATATGCTTGCTTTTCAGAAAGGGGTCGGGCTGGTGGCTGCTCGGGGTTTGGGGTTGCCACTCTGCCAGCTGCAATATCAATGCTGGCGTTTCTCAGTGGATAAGAGGGTCTTAGAAGGAAAGATGCAAAGTTTGACTCCATGTTTCCCAGAGGGTGCAGTCAAACTTTGCACCTTAAAGCAATCCAGCAAAATTTCAAGCAAGAGGCTGAAACTGGAAAACAGCCATATGGAATGCAACACAAGGAAAATCAGCACACCTGTGCAGTCTCCTATTGCTAGTTGCAGTTGCGGGCCCAAACAGTTTTCACCTGTGGGGCAGGCTGAATATTTTGAACACTTGCAGGAGGGTCAGAATGGTTCTGGAGGACACTTCCGCACAAGCCAGCAGTTGTCAGGAGGGGGCCATGAGTGACAGTAGGCCTACGGCTTAGGTTTTTTTGTTGTGCTCTTTCTCGTCAGGTGCAGGCAGCTGATGGCGTCCGGGCGCATAGTTTCAAGTTCGCTTCGAGTCTGCGCAGCTCGTCCCTGTGGCTTTCGGACCTTTGGGCAAGGCTTCCCTGCCTCGCCTCGGGCCTCACTGCTGGACTTGGAGCTCCAACGCTGCGTGGACGGAGCGGCCGTGCTGCGGGTTGGAGCACAGACGCAGCTGCAGCTCACCTTGGCTGACCTCCGTTCCTTTCTGGCTCGCTTGCGGGATCTCAAGAAAATGCCCTCATCAGGCGCAGACCTTCGCCAGTTCCTTGAAAAGGTCGCGCAGCCCAACAGTCCTTTGCAAGAAAGGGTCCATTGCCTCTGAGAACCGTCCCGTTTATTGCTTGACCCGCTTCAAAAACTTGAATAACTTTGACCACTGAATGTTGCCAGTTAAAGTGTCAACGAGCAGTTGAAGGTTTTGGGATCAGCAGAAATGATGCAAGTTGCCAAAGTGATAAATGCTCTGGTTAGCCTCGTTTACTGAGATCCTCAGTTTTTTATGTCCTGGCAGCCCTGTCTAGCTCTAAGGTAGATGCCGTGCTACCAGGCTTCGGGGCGGAGGGCGCGCACTTGGCACTCACAGGCTTTGCGCAGTTGCGCTGCCGTCAGGCCAGATTGTCTTTGACGCAAAGCGGGCACTGGTAGTAATAGCATGGTAATGTTGCAAAGGCCGTAGTGCTCACAACACGAAGCAGTTGCATCACTACATCCTTTGTTAGAACACGAGCTTGCTTGTGAGTTTTAATACAGCAGTAGTAGAATTTGAACAGGACCAGAAAACACTTTCAGTCATTTCTCCCCGAAATAGTAGTCTATCCTAATTTGGAACAGACGTGTGCAGGGAGCCATTTCTGCGTGGCCGCTGTTGCTGAGACATCGGGGTGAGCTCTCGCCATCCTACTTAGCTGAAGGCGTGTGGGCTGCATCTGGCATACCCAGCCCGCCGCGAGACATCATCTATCAAGCAGTCGGCTTGGCTCGAGAGGTCGCGCCGCATATGAAAGTGCTGCCGGATGAGGCATTGTACCGCTGCATCTATGGTTTGGCACGTATTCACACTGGCCGGGGCTCGACTGAGCTGCTGCGCCGGGCGGAAACTTCAGTGACACAGATGCTGGGACGCAGGCCGTGCCCATTGGCGCCAAAGCAGCTGGTAAGACTTTGCTGGGCCATGGCACGCTTGGGCTGTCGGGACCAGCGAATATTTGAGGCACTGGAGGCCCGCATTGGCAACGTCCTCAACCAACTCGAGGTCAAGGAGTTGGAAGCTCTGTACGGTATCCTGACAGAGTTGCAGCTGGTTCGTCAGTGGAAGTTAATTCATGATGTGGAGCGGGCACTGGAGTCACGTGAGGATGAGGCAGCTTCAATGAACAAATCTGCTAGGCGAAAACCATTTCGACGCCGCTGGACGCGGGCGGACCTGATGCACTCTGTCCTCACTCGCAGATGAACTCAGCTCCAAGTCTAAGATGCAGCTTTGTGGGTGCAAGTGGCTTCTGTCCATCTAGCTTGACACCGGTCTTCAAGTTCTTCCCTGGACGTGGCCTTGCGAATCTGGATCCGGCGACGTGCCAGGAATTGTAATCTCGATGCCACAACGCCGCACCAACTGTGCCACGCCCTCGCCACACCCGCCAAGTTTCAAAGCGTAGCTCGCAGCTGGCCAGATGCGAGTTTCCAGCTGTATGCGTTCAGCGCAGGCAACGGGACGGCCTTGCGTCCAAGCACGCATTTGTGACTGGCTGAACGATGATGATGATCTGCTCCTCTTGGTGAAGGATCCGCTGCTCCCCTTCCTTTGTTCGGAGTCTTCCACCATGTGATTCCTGATCGCGGAATTGTCTTTAAAGCTGTTTATGCAGTCTGCATCAAAAAAAGGATTGACATGCCGTGCTTGAAGTTGAGCGGGACGGTGTTCAGCTGGGATTTCCGTTGAAGGTTGGAAACAGATATTGGAAATCCTGCCCTCGTGGAGTGTAAGTGTGACCCCTTTGCTTTACGATGAGATTAGCACGCTGTGGGGAGCTGGGGAGATGAGCTGGTTCTTTACCTGAAGTCGCTGTCAATTTCGTGGCTGGGCTCAAGAACCTGCCGAACTGGCCCATTCCGGATTTGACGCGAGGAAACTGTCAGGGCCCAGGCATGTTTTGCAGGACAAGCGCATGAATCTTCACTCGAGACTGTAGTGCATGTCAGTCTTCGGCTTGACACTTTTGTGTTCTATGTTCTGCCTTCTGGGCGCGTGTCTGTCAAGCGAACAAAATTGGTGCCTTCAGAATAGAGGTCAGTTGCTGACACCCCAGCGGCTTCCGGACATTGTTGATTCGTGTGCCAAGGAACTTGGAATCATGGTCGCAGCCTCGGGGTCACGGAAGGTAGCAACTATTTCAGACTCAACGTGCAGCTGCCTAGAGTCTTGGAAGTGCACAGGTGTTACATGTTGCGCTCGGTGCTCACGCTTTTAGGGACCCCTCGATTATTCCATGCTTGTGCATCTTGTTGGCCTGATCTGAATCTTTGGGCTCCAGCCTCTACGCTTGAGGGGCAAATGGTACCGCTTGTTTGGGATATCCATGAGAAGGCCAGACGCAGTGGAATGCAAAATCCAGGCGTCGGACAACCTTGTTACTCTGGCAGGTCCATTCCATATAAAGCAAGGCACGGATGCGATGCACCTCGGTGGGGTTTCGACTCTTAAAAGACAATGCTAGGGGAGGTAAGGAGCTGCTATGCAAGCGCAAGTGTCTCTCTCGTCTTATGGGCTGCTCGCTGTGAATCGATGCTGCATTTTTAAGGTCAGCACCGCAGTTTGGTCCATTGGTTCCTCTGCATAGCCGTGCTGCCTTTGCAGGCTGGGGATAGCAGCACATTTTTTCCTGGTGTTGTTTGACACAGGCATCGTGTTTTGCCGTGATTTTTTTTGGGATGTACTGGCAGGCCAAGCACATCATGCGGAGCCTCGCCTTACACGGGGCATTTGCTCTGGGACTGGGTGTCTGATTAGGTTTTTGGCTTGACAGTTCCGCAGTTGCATATAACATGCTGTAATATACTATATTCTACTAGATTATACTATTATATGCGATAATATGCTATGATGTACCATAGTCTACTATAATATACTCCTAAACCCTTGAGGCGATCGAAGGCCATCGCTGCCTGGCAAACGAGAAGAGAAGTTTTCGGGATCATTTCGACACATACAGGTCCAAGTGTTGCAGAGGTGCGTTGCACAAGTTGGACGACCCAGACGAAAATTTTAAAGACATTCTGAAGAGAGGTCAGTGCCGGGGATGTTCCAGGACAAACCAAGCTTCAGCACCACCATGCCGGTACAATGTTTTTGGTTCTTTGCCGGCTTGAAGCTAAGATTGCAAGTGATGGAGCCTTTGGGCTGCTGGACTCTGCTTTTGTTGATGCGGATGCAACCATGCCTGTCTACAAGAACCTGGGCCGCAACAGTCCGACGTAAGAATGTGCGTGCCTGCAGTATGCAGTAATCTCCAGGCTGTGCACGCATGACAGTGTCTACGTTGCAGCATGCAAGCCTTGAGGTTCAGACCAATACTAGTACCAACAGCCTGCGCCGTCCCAGGCTGTACTTCAACCTTGTGGGAAAGCGTATGTGCTGGCAAAGAGAGTCAGAAGGTTGCCGTGACTGGACTGCAGCTGATCTGGGCAAGTGACAGATAGGCTCACCCAACGCTGAGAAAAACCAAGCAGACCAAACGTTGAAGGCTTGGGAACAGCTCCACAGCACTTACAACAGCTTTTGCCGAATTGTTTCGCATGGCACCTTCTTGAACGCGGCCAAGGTTCCTCAGCTGCGGAATGCAACCTGGAGTACTGCAACTCGGAGGATGCCCGGTACTGTAGACTGGAGAGGGGCGCTAATGACTAGCCAAACCTGGATGATGCACACCAGTCAAAGTAAGCCAACCCCTTGTGCATGCAGCCAGACAAGAGCTGTCATTCAAAATCGAGGTACCATTTTGCAGTGCTGGCCTCTGCAAACACCATGACAAGGATTTTATCCCTTCTTCATCTTCGATAAAGATTCTGTGTGTGAATTTTACATGATGCGCGCTGATGGACACAGGCTCATTTTCCAAGGGTATTCGACCGAGCAGTGATGTCGAGAGCGTGCTCTCGCATTACACTCCAGACAGTTATGTGATTCCAAATCTTGCTTGGAGAAGGAAGAGACCTGTTCTTGCTTGCAAGGATCCAGCCTGCAGCTGCCTCAAGGTGGGCTTCCGGAACTGCAGCCACGGAAGCAGGCGGGCTTCTTGTATTTAGGATGTGCAAGCTGCGCAACTATAATGGGCAGCAAGCATAGACTTGAGCATGCTTGGCATCTTCGGGAATTCGTACGCGCTGCAGACATGCAGTCGGCAAGATCATATACCTGCGAAGCAGGCCCGCTGCGCCACTGCAGCTGTACGTAGAGGCGATGAAGCAGCCAGCAGCGAGCCTGAAATGTATGTTAGCATGTGGATGGGCAGGTGCTCTCAGCATTGAGGCAAGTGTGTTGTGACGCTAGGATGGAGACTTCCCCGATCACGTCTACTACTGGCGCCAGCTGAGGGTCAAGTACTACGACAATTCTGATCCTCTGGCTTTTATAGCATATTCCACCAGATCTGTGCATGATGTGCTGTTGCACCTCATCTAGTACACAAGGTCAAACAAACTGAGCGGCAGCCACTTTGTGTCTCTGTCCATTGTAGCACATCACTCTGGCTTTGTGTTCCCTGTTCGGAAGGACTGGGATGACCAAGCCCAGGATTTCGGCAAGGCCATACAATCTTTTTTGGGTGCCCTTCAACATCTTCAACCTCAGAGTGTTCACTGCCACAACCAGGCTCTGGAGTCTCACTTGGCCTGCACTGAAGAGCCCTGTCGATGCCGCACCGAGAGCATCTTTGGCTTTGCCGCTCGGGCTGAAAGCTTGCCATGCCTGCCAAACTGGAAGCCAGCGGTGCGTGGCGCATACCAAGGCATGGGATGGAAGCAGGCTTGTCAATGTGGATAATGACGACACGCGCCGTAGCATTGGTCAGGAGCTTGAACAGCCATCCAAATTCTGCTTGTTGGATGAGGATCCTGCCGCTAAGCAAATTCAAACGTCAGGTCCATCTCCCTACGCTGCCAAAACTGGGGATGCTACACTGACGCTGCGCCAGTACAACATGCGCCTGAAGGCCTCAGCAAAGGACATTTTTCATGATGTCCGTGCAAGGGCCGTATTCGCTTCGAACACATAAGACAGAAGAGTCAGTAGTAGGCGCTGAACCTGCTGTCAGCTGTGCACCTGTCTTCCTGAATTGTCCGTGTCAGGCCAGCAAGATGGAGACAGAAACATGCCTCAGCTACCACGATCCTACCACGACCACGTACACAACCACAACACGAACCCACTCACGTGCAACTACTGTCACTACCACCAAAACCACGACCAAGACCACAACCACCCAAACGAGCACGACCACACCTACAACCACAGTCAGCACCACAACAGAAGAGCAGCCGGACGAGGTTTCGACAGAGGACGCTGCCGATATTTCAACAACAGCAGAGGATACCAGCACTACCTCAGGCCGGGCTAGCTTTGGATTGTCAATCAAGCCGCTTGCCTGTCCGCATGTTTGGAGAGGAGAAGATGATGAGCAGGAGGAAGATGAAGATGAAGACAGTTCAGATGACCAGGACACTGTGAACGACTCAGCTGCCTCAGGCTAGCAGCTGCGTGCCAGGTCCGTGCAGCCCTCTGTCCAGGTCACGTCCACATCCACAACTTCCCCGGCCTTCACCAGCTCCTCAGCCGCTGAATCGAACCAACGAGGTTGGGGTGAGAATTCATCAGGAAACTGTTGCAGGTACCGTATGTGTCTGGCCAGGTGCCTCAAGCAGCACAGCTCCGGTGAGAGCGACAACAAGCCGCTTTCCTAGCTCATCCAGCTCAGGGACGAAGGATAGCGAGGATGGCGGCTCCGAAACAGGTGGTGAGGAGGGTCGCGAAGATGGCGAAGCCTCGGGAGAAGACACGGGGAACGATGAAACGGCCGATGAAGACGGGACAAAACAGCCGGTGCCTCATACGAGCTTTTCTCAGATCCCTGAATAGTATTGATTTTTTTTATGATGCCACGTGTTTCCGATTGGGTGAAAGCAGGGTCTGCTTTCTGCGGTCCCCGCAGTCAGGTCGCGCTCCACTTCAACGACGTTGAGCCGCACTGCTGCCAGCACCAAAAGCAGCTCTCCTGTAACTACTACAACGACGTCGACCACATCCACTTCCACAGCAACCACAACGCTGACCTTGACATCTGTCACGACAACCACTACAACCACAACAACTGCATTTTGTCATTGCTGCTTGATTGCATCATATGGCACAATTTTGATTAGTAACTCGTTCAAGATCATGGGGCTCACCAGTTGCAACGTGATTCTTTCCTCACTCGTTCCTCAAGACGTGTGGCAATCGCGAGAGAATACTGGGATGCGTCAAAATGGTCCTCTGCGCGCCTTTGCGTCACATATCTTGCCCTGCGACTGGCAAGGGTGAAGGGATGAATAGCAACCAGAGTCCTCCTACAACATGTGCAACAGAGTTTTTGATTGTTGCCTTCGGAGAATCTCCTGCAGCGCCGCCCAGGCTATTAGGCTCCGTCCAAGTGAGTTCAGTCGGCACGAGTACAAGACAACAAAAATGCAGCCAGATTGGGTGCAGACATTGCTGTTCGTTGCCCTCCGCGGCAAAAACAACGGAAGTAGCGGTAGCGGCAGCAACAGCAGCAGCGCTAATAATGTAATCGCTGCCCTAGCTGTAGATGCAGGGTGGTGGCGGTTGTGGTGGTGGTTGAAGTTGTTCTTGCCACTGTTGGGGGTTATGGAGCTCAGCTAGTGACACCTTACAGCAGTTGTCACATTCTTGAGTGCTTCTGGCACGCCTGCACGACAGCCCTGTCGTCTGGACTGCCCAACACTGGCATTCAAGGGAACGTAGGACTAGAAACAGGTGTCGTCGTCATCATAGTAGTAGTAGTAGTAGTAGTAGTAGTTGTTGTTGTTGTTGTAGTAGTAGTAGTAGTAGTAGCAACAGCAGCAGCAGTAGCAGCAGTAGCAGCAGTAGCAGTAGCAGTAGCTGTAGCAGTAGCTGTAGTAGCAGCAGTATATTAGCAGCAGCAGTAGTAGCAGCAGTAATAATCATCACAGTAGTAGGCGCAGCAGTCTTTGCACAATGCTGGCAGTGGTCGAAAGTAAATAGGCAGCAAGAGCTTTCAAGTGTCCCCTCAACAGCAAAGGCTTTGCCAACGTGTCGTGGCGAAAGGAGGCCATCAACGTGTTAAATGCCATCACGTGTTTTCCTGAGAATTTGTTGTGCTTTCACTTGGTTGACCGCCGATAAGAGTCATTTTAATGTACTGGTTTGCATCTTGCCGGCTTTTAAGATCTTCTGCCAGAAACCTGGATGGGGACCCCTGTCGCCCACCGGATCCACGCGCTTGCGCCGTGCTGTGGTGACGGCCGCGGCCACTGCATCGTCCGGAAGTTGCAAGAAGTTCTGCTTGCAGGCACGGAATTTGGAACGTAGAAAGAGTGACAGATGATGTATGGGGCAGTTTTCGGGAGGATGGTCATTTTTTTGTGCGTTTCCTGCTGACAAAAAGATGGCGAGGATGGCAAGATGCATGCCATTGTCCGGCATAAGGGCAGCGATGACTACTGCAACTCGGTTGCAGCGTAGCCTCAGACCCTCATGCCAAGTCATTTTAGCAATCGTGAGCGAAGCACTGCCTACTCAACTTTGCAACAGAGCCTTCATATACCATCCAGGCGTCGCAAGTAGGTGCAAGTAGGCGCATGTGCAGAGTGCAGAGCTGGAGGCACTTGCTACACAGCAGACACCAACAATCCCTTGTACAACATGGCGAGCAGGTCCGGCTGCCATTCTACCAAACGGGATGTGCTCTTCTTCTTGACACCATCATTCCAGTTGGGGTCATCCAGATGTGGGGCGGATAAGCATTCAGGAGGAGTCCGTCACAACTGAATGTTTTTGGACACGTCACATGTGGGACATTTTTCAGATGGACGCAAAACTATTTGACCGCCTATGTGTGCACAATCACCATAGGGATACCGCTTAAGCAGAGCTGCAGCAGTCAGCAGACTCTATTCCCGGCACAGAAGTAAAGCAAAGTGCAAGCCTGTAGGGATCAGCGGAGCGGGTGGACGACACAGAACCTAGGACCTAGCCGGACCTACGAGATACAACATGTGAACTCCTCGCAATTTGTCGTAGTGTTGCTGGCACCAAGTTTGCAATTACCACGTTGGTAAAATTGCGCACCAAGCTACTGCATGGTGGCTTCAGGGTTTGAACTTGAAAGGCTCGGCTGCGCACCAGAGCATTCCTGTTTGCCTGAGAGAGCCGCGCCCAAAAAACATTGCGGGCAAAATCAGTTGATTTTGAGATCACCTCGCAATCGGGCATGTCTCGCAGAGCATGTTTGAGGCCATGAGGTTTGGACAAGCATTCGGGAGTCTTAATTCTGCCATACCAGTATTGCGCAAGAGGCTGACTAAACTTGTTCTTACGCTTGGCGCTTCACTGGTAACAAAAATGGGGGATGGCCAGATCAGAGCTTGGTCACGGCTATGATCTGCAGTCCTCCGAAGTTTTCATTCGAGAAGCCAAGCTCATCAGGACATGTCATGGAAGTCTCCATTTTCTCATGAGGACTTTAGCAGGCCTCCCTATCTCCATACCTTGTTTATTGATAAAGGACTTGTTCTGCTCCAGCATCTTTGCAACTCTTCTGAAAGTCTTGCCGGTGTGTTCTCGGACTTTGCATTGGAGTCCTCCCTCACAAGTTAGTTGCCTTCTGGCGATTTACGGCCTGCCAGCAAAAACATATCAGCCTACCCCTCACCCAACTGGTTTGCTCCTCACGCACCGGTTCAGGGTGAGTTTAGACAAATTCTTGGCAGGTTCCAGGAGAACGAGTCTGTTATTGGATCGTGGAGCCTGGAAGCGCCGGGAGTTCATGGCTACAGCAAGCTGGTTTCCCCAAAGACGGCTTCCAAGCAAATCCAGGCTGGGCAAACAGCCCTGCGAGCTAGCAGGCTGTCGCAAGCTGTCATTGAGATTTCAGTCCAGGTTTGCACATGGGCCTCCTGTAGTCCTCCATGTGGACTTTGCTTGATGCCTTGAAGGCTCATTCGGGATGCCCCGAGGACTCGCAATGTAGACAAGTTTCAGCCTGACGTTGAGCTACGGCGTGTCTAAACATGTTGCTCAGCAGCAGGGTCAACCGTGGATGCAGTTGACCAAACACAGGTCCGAAGTTGTGTAAGGTAGTCACTCCTGCCCCGGCTGTCAAGGGCTTGGACAATAATTGAATTTTCTGTCAGCAAGTCCCGCTTGTGAGGACAGTTCAGATTGCAACCCACTCTTCAGCCGCGGCTGTGGCTCTTTCGCAAGCAGTAGTCGTCGAATCTGTAAATACTCGCCTTCCACATGGTAGAACAGATTGTTGGGCTGCATGCAGTGCACATGGTTGGCAGCTCCTAGGAGCTGATTTGAAAAGATGATGAGGTGGGAACAAGAAGCCTCTTTTCTGCCCGAACACCCATGAGCATCTTGGCAGAAGGAAAATGATGCTGACATTGATCTGATTGCTTGGCCTCAAGCCAGGCACAGCCCCTTCGTTGCAACGCTGCCTTTGGATGTTCGCCCGACGGATAGCTTCTTCCTCACCCAGGCAAGGGCAGATGCATCTCTCTTGCACTCAGCACAAGAAACCGATGCAAAAAACAACTGCATCTCAAGCTGCTCAGTTTTCAGCTTGCACGTTTCACAGCACCTGACTCTGCTGGATCCTGGATCGTTGGAGGCGTGCAGTGGCGCTTCTGACGCCAATGCCAGCATTTGCGGAAATGCGTGGCTCATTTTCGATTTGGAGGAGAAGTTTACAGTCGCAAGGATGCGACGCTTGGCTTCATTTCTGGCTGTCGTCGGCTGCCATTCGCCACCGTAACCATTCGCAACTCGTACTTAGAGCACTGCACAGAGGGCTGAACTGTTCATTTGAGGATTCTACAACTACGTCACCCAGGATGCTGTCCGCAAGATTCTAATCAGCAGCAGTAGCAGCATGGAAGATTGGATGCCGGCCCAAGTCTTCGACATCTCCAACACAGCAACTTCACAGGACTCTCCTTCAGCTACTTGGCCCTGCGCCCTTTACCGTTGGCTCTGCAGATTGCAAAGATCAGGCAAACTGGGTTTGCAGCGTCCTATGAGATTGCAGGCTCAGAAGCATGCCTTCTCCGAGCTCATCTTTGACGTTCCCGTCAGCTCACGCTTTCTGAAGATGGAGATATTAGAGAACTACGGCGGCAAAGGCGCACCATTGGGCACCTGAAGCACATTTGGTGCCGTTAAGTCAACGACTGCAGCTTTGAGTGATCTTTGCAGCGCTTCCTCCTTGCCTCAGTCAGGCGTGGGCTTCTATCGCATAGCATTTGATGGCTTCAAGTCGCAAGCTTAACTTCTTGTGCGGTTTGAGACAGTGCTATTGCCAATGCTGTGGTCTCAGTTTAGCTGTTTACTTTTCAAGCCCAGGTACTTTTTTACGGACTTTACCAAGTACGCTGGGAAAGCCTGCGGAGGTGCCTGACGTTTTAGTTTTTCTTTGCTGTTGCTCGAGAAGCATCAGGAACCTGGGCATGCTGATGCCTGGATTCTTTGGTTATATGTTATATGCTGTGTCCATGTGTTTCCCCTCTTATGCAGGCTGGCTGGTAAGCAGGTTTGGTACTGCGCATGAACTGCACTGAGTGTCATCGTTCCACGGACCGTTTTCAAAGTCGCATCCGGTGAGTGTGACACTGGGGAAACGGTCTTTTCAACCATATCACCAATGATAACTTCATTTTTGCACCGTGCCCATCATCCCCGATGAAGGGTGTTAATTCCACGGAATCATGGGA